CAGATACCCTGTTAGTCTAGTTGGTAAAGGGGAGAAGTGTGGCGAAACCAACCTCGCCACTGTGAACTGGAGAAGCCTGGTTGCTCGCCTGCTCCCTTTGGACTATGGCCCTGCAGGTTAAACTGTTTATTTCCCCTGCAGAAAGGCTTATTTGTGTGATCTGAGTGCCATTCATCTAATAATGTGCACTCAGATCCCAGCTATCTGGGGATATGTGAAATGTCTGTGTGTTATGTGTAAATGTGGCTTTATGTATTTTAAAGTGTTTTGTGTCTTTTTGCAACCATGTGCTTAATGGAGTCTTGTGTCTATCCTGGGAGATAATTGAATTACTCTCCAGGATAGAAGACTCTGAAACTGGTTTGGGCCAGAAAGCCATGCTTCATTTAGTCACAAAGGACTTTCCCTTAACTTTTGAACCCCTGGTCTGATTCGTGCCATTTTTTAATATGTTGTTCCCCTGAATGGATTGATTGTGAATATGTAATTTTATGTGAATGTGATGTATATTTTAGAAGTTATAAATATTGTGTAAAAACTGTATTCCTCTGCCGGTGATAATGAGATTACCCATTGTGTTCAGTAATCATATCACCTGCAGAGGGGAGGATTTGGTGTGGTAGTGTCTGGGTGTATTGTACGGATTGATTGGCTGTTTGGTAACGCCCTGTGGGCTGTACTATGTTTGTGGATTGGGAATAAAAGAGACTGTATGTGACAGTACAGGGAGTTCCTGTTTTAACCCTCAAAGTGAAGTGTCGTCTCATTATTGGGGGAAGGATTTATTGTATGCTGTTCCAGTTTGACTGCTAGGAGAGTAAACCTATTTGTTTGGTTCCTATTCAACTGTCTACAGCATTCATATGCTTGGGAGAATTTATTTGTTTCTCCGGTTCGGTGGTTTTGGTGTCTGCTGCAGTGCTTGGAGTCCTCAGGAAGTGCTAGGAGCATCCTTTAACGGAGGTACCCAGTCGGGGTGCCGGGCGATCCGTTACAACAAGTGTCTCAGAATCAGAACCAGAATCAGAATCAGTGACATTTGTCACTCCATCCCTATATCACTTTAGTAAACCAGGAGACACAATTGCCATAGGGATAATTGCAACAACTGCTAGCCTATTCTGTAATTGCTGTGACAGACAGTAGGAGATCCACCTGTAAGATGGATTAATGCAAAATGTGTGTACCATGACAGATATTGATTTCCATTTGATAATAAGTGAATTCTACCTAAATACATGCAGCATAAGATCTCATAGCTGTTCTGAAAAATATCAAAATGTTTACAAATCTAGTGTTAAAGGGACACTATAGTCACCAGAACAACTACAGCTTAATGTAATTGTCCTGGTGAGTATAATAGCTCCCTTCAGGCATTTTCATGTAAACACTGCCTTTTTCAGAGAAAAGGCAGTGTTTACATTGCTCCTACAGACACCTCCAAGTGGCCACTCCATAGATGGCAACTGGAGGGGCTTCCCTATGGGAAAGCATTGGATTGGCAAAAAAACAGCCGTTTCGATAACGTCACAAAGGAGGCAGAGCCAGTGCCGGCAGACCCATGCGGCGCTGTAAATAAGGTGAGTTTTATACTTTTATAAGGGGGCTAAGAGGGGGCAAGCCACCTAAATGGTGGGTTAACCCCTTAAGGACACATGACATGTGTGACATGTCATGATTCCCTTTTATTCCAGAAGTTTGGTCCTTAAGGGGTTAAACACTATAGGGTCAGGAATACATGATTGTGTTCCTGACCCTATAGTAATCCTTTAATAATAAATTCTCTGTCTGATAAAGCTAATGTCTCGAACAATCCCACTCATATCTTCCATGGGCCTAGCCCTAACCCACCTGTCAGGGGCGGCAAATGCACAGATTAAAAAAATATATATATTTTAAAATAAAACTCATTTATGCATGTAACATTGCCATGTTAATTTAATGTGAGGATTCCAATTAAATTATTTTTTGCAGTTTTACATAAATATTGAAGAAATACAAGCTTTTATTGATGTTAGGACAATGAGTCCATTATCATTTAAATATTATTTTAACAATGTTTAAGCCTTTGAGAAGGTTTTCTGTAAATCACTGATAAACAAAATCTCCCCAAGCACGCTAGCATATCAGAAGTTGCATGCCCAATTATTAACAATTAAATTACTCTGTGTGGACTTAGAAACATAATAGTAAAACTAAAATATTTGCATCAGATAATTATGAACCCTAGATGCATGGCAATATATTAATCAAATCCTCTGTAGAACTGGTAAACAAAGATATTTTCTACAGTATCAATGTCCATACGCAAGTCACATGGGAAGAGTGTATGCTATGAATTATTCATTGAAATGACAGGCTTCCAGAAAGCTATATTCTACTTCTGCAGCAATATTTACCATGCAATACTAATGTGGTAATTATGCGAATAGTGTAACACTTTGAGTGCCACAGCTGTGCAAGTAATTTTCAAGCAAATAAATTTAGTTCTGAAATGAAAGTAGAAGTAGCAGATTTGGTTTAACTGGGATTAATAATAGGTATACATTTAGTATATATATATATAGTCAGGTAGTATGGCTGCACTCACAGATTTTCCAATAAAAATTAACTTTTATTTAAATTCCAATAAAACAAATCGACGTTTCAGTCCATCTTGTGGACTTTCATCAGGATTATAAATGCATTAACAATAACATATCATATATAAAGGATGCAATAATTATAATATTAGTGATTAACTCACCCCAGGTGCTGTTCGTGATGAAACCGGCGTTCTTGCCACTAGAGTGCGCATGCGCGGCTAAGCCCCGCCTATTTACATGACGTCACCACGTGATGCTACCGTCGCTGCCATGGTGACGCGGTACAACAAAGGCGATCACCATGGTAGCTGGTAACTAATACCGTCCCCACTACATGTGATCGTCTGTTTTACTTAGCAGATGGTGTGAGAGAAAAGAATAGAGAAGTTAGCCATATAGATCAAAATACATACGTGGAGTATAATTCTAATCAAGTGTAGCTTATACACTATTATCCCACATGAAGAAGGCGTTGAGGCTATGCGTCAAGTTTTGACAAGATCTACAGAGCTTTATTCATATTGATTCAGCAAATTACATTTTCCCCATTTGTTCTACTTTCTTTTAGAAACTGTAATTAAAAGATTGACAGAATTCTAGCATATTATTAATTTTTTCACTTGTTTTTGGTTTTCTTTAGTTCACTGGAGAAGCATTCATACAAGGGAATAGCTATCAGTGAAACTTGTGCTTAATGACTAGTTTGTCACTTTTGTTAACATTGTGTAACTTAAGGAATCAGATTGTTCTGAACTGTATGTACACATTTTGTTTTTGATTCCACAAATGCATACCTATTATATTTAGCAAATGTCCTCACGTTTTGCAAATTCAGAGTATATTCACAACAGTTTACAAACAGGGAAATTTTATAAAAGTGTGGTCCTCTAGAAATGGAATGAAAAAAATGAATTAAGGCTTGCAGAGAAAGAAGCACAGCTAAACCAATTTAACATTTATTTTCTTCATTTTCTTTTCATTTGTTTTGAGATAATAACACACCATTTCAAATAAATTTACAATTCATGATTACTTTTTGCAAAGTCATATATATTTATCTACCACTCTCTCAGATCTCCCTCCCTTTTGTCTCTATTTTCAGCTGCTATCACTCTCACGCGGGACAGAACATGCAGCTCCTGTTTATTATCTACAGCAAGCATGACATTATTTACATTTCCTTAGATTGATTTTGCATATTGATTAAACATAACCTTACCTAAAATGTGCGTCCAAAAATCAATCAACACAAGCTGTTTAATTTATTGTCGTTGAAAATAAAACAATTACATGCAATATACTTTGGCATATCTACTGAGGAACAGGGTGGTCCACCATTTTATATATAATCTCTTACTGCCATTACTCATGAAACAATATGTAAAATGCAAATCCTGGACTGCCAATTTTAATATACAAATAGTTATAGGTCCCTACTATAACAAATGAGATAAAACCCTTGTGCTACATCCTGAGTGGGGACTCAATATACAATAATTAGTTGTGCTTTTCTGTGAAATGTTTAAAAATGTTGGCAGTCTGGCTTGTTTGTTTTTTGTTTGTTTTTTTAGTTTAAGTTTTGTGCTGACTCTTCATATACACATTTTGATTATCAGCATAATAATAGGGCTATATGTTCAAAACGGTGAGAGAGACATATCATAAATCTTTCATTGTTCACCGTCCATCCTTAGCACTCTGTATAGACTACAGGGATACCCAGTGATTGCATCACATGAATGTCCAGACAAGCAGCTTATCTTTCAAAGGAATGCCCCTTGGTAAAAAAAGGAAGGTGGGGTAAGCAGTCAATTATCACAGAGCTGATCACTGCTTATATGTTTATACTCAAGCTACACTTGTGAAATATAATCTACAAAGCTTAACCCCTTCAATTTGTTTTGCAATTCAAAAGTGAGGCAGGTTTCCTCCGATTATGCACCAGCAAAGGCTACATGACAATCTGCAGAGGTAAAACTGCCAAACCTTTGTGAGTTGACAAAGGAGAGTTATAGCCTCCTATAAATGATAGATTATTATTATTATTATTTTATGATTTATATAGCGCCATCAGATTCCGTAGCGGTGTACAATGAGATCAACAGTTACTATCAAACTGATTTCTAGGTCATTTCAAATGCTAACCTATGAGCTGGTTGCAAAGAAAAAAATAATTCTCAAGAAAAAAATTAATATTTATCTTGTGTTTTCTAAGCTGTGACTTGTTTAAGATACTGGGCAAAATAAACTTTCTGTCCTACCATATTAACCTTCTTATTAGCCTTTCCTTTTCATTTCATTTTTGAGTTTGCATGTCATTTAGCTTTCATTACGTTTATCACAAATGTCAAAAGAACTTTTTTTTGCACACTCTGTTATGTAAGCCCTCCCACTAATTGGCAACGTTTTCAAGAGCTCATATTTCAGGGCACTCAATGCACTTACTGTTGCCAGCACGGAGTATTTATACCTTGCCCTGCTATCAGACTGCAAAGAACATCGAGTGTCACATCTCTCTTCAACAGTCTCTTCAACAGTCGGAGTTGCAAAAGCAACTTTTAGATTAACTGATGAATTTGGAATACAAAGCATTTTCAACCCATCAGCGGACGTAATACAGAAGGTAAAGTACAGAGCCATATAAATATCTGTATAGGATGCATTGGTATAATCGCTGTGTTAATTTTTTATGATCCCAGTCACTTTTCCTACTTAAATATGTGTGCATTTGCTTAATTTGCAAGATATTTTTATTTTAATCTTGTGAAAGTCTCAAATGACACCTAAAGCCATCTGCGTGCAGAATGGTTCGAATTGTCTCAGTCATGTGACTATGCTTTTTTTGAATATCCTGCTTTTCAAGAGCAGTCTGTTCTGTTTTGTACTGCTTTGTAATTAAGTATAATTGTCTCTGTTCTTTTCTGTCTCTCAGGTACAGTTGAGCTTCTTTTTGCGCTACTCTTGATACTAGTATTGGGATTATGGCATCTGTTCCATCAGCTGGTTGCCTTATAGCGAAAAATCAGTTCTACAGAGGTAAGCGTCTAAATGATAGATGCTTGTACTTAACAGAAGTTTTACGAAAGAAACAAAAACTTTTGTTCTGCTTCAGTGAACTGTCAGTCTGTCTATAAAAGTGATGGCAGGCTAACCTTAAAACTGCAGATATTTATGCAGTAGATATCCCATAATCCTCAGCCAGAGCATCATGGGAAATGTATTTCACATACATTTACAGTATTATGGATAGACAATGCTAGTTTAAGACTCTTGTAAAAATCCTTTTTGTTTAATCAATAATATGTTCTTTCTCTGTAGTTCGCCTGAATTCTGAATCCAGTATCTGCTCAAACAGTTCTGACTCAGGACTCACGATGGATCAGGAAAAACCTAATCACGGTATTGATTTTATATCAGTCTTCCTTTTTCATCTATGTTTAATGTTATGCTTTCAAGCTGAAACTGTTTAACGTTAACATATTCTTCAAACACTTAGTAACTTGGAACATGAACGAAGTGTTCTTACATTCCTTATATGCTTATCTTGATTGTTGGTGAGAGAAAATCTGAGTTGATATTTGAAATGTATTTGATTTTTTTGTTGTTGTTACGTTCCACACCAATGTTTCCAGATTCTCAGTATTTATTTATATTTGAATGGCTTATGCTTATTAGACATGTGCACTGCAGTTTTTTTCAGTTTGGCAGAATTTTCCCCCAAACTTGAAATATTGTTCTAGACAACCGATGCTTGTTCATGTGACAGTTCAGTTTGGCCAAACGACATTCTTAAAATTTTTGGATAAACCAAAAGGGCACAAAAATGGGTCAGTCAGCATGTTGCAAAATATATACATAATGTAAATATGATATTTATGTATATATATATATATATATATATATATATATAAATGGCAGTACATAGGTCCAGTAATAATAGTAACCAATAGAGGTAAAAGAGGGAGAGCAGTAACATTTTTATTAACATTAAATATATAATTTACAATACAAAACCGTCAGTCATACATAGATACAAGTCTGCACAGTGGCTAAGTTGCAATGCCGTAAGGACAACTACAACATTAAAGCCTGTGTAATGAGATGTATCAAATGTAGGTGTAATATAAATCCGATAATTCGCCATAAAAACAAAACAAAAAATACACTGTAAAATACATATACAAAAAATATGTAATGTTCACTAAACAGTGAACAGGATATAAATAAATTTATGATAAAACTGCTTGATAAAAACAGTCTATCGTGTTTTCGAGCAGTTTTCATAGTTTTATAGTTTTATATTTTATATTACACATTTGATACATCTCATTACACAGGCTTTAATGTTGTAGTTGTCCTTAGGGCATTGCAACTTAGCCGTTGTGCAGACTTGTATCAATGTATGACTGAAGGTTTTTACTGCTTTGAGTTTATGTGTCTTTTACCTGGTGGTAGTATTAGATGTTATCTTTATCATATATATAAGATTGTTTTACTCATTCATTCATTTCCCTATAGGAGCGCTCCCACACTATTAGTTTTTTTACATATTACCTGTGTTTACCTGTAGTCACTCTGGTTTAGTGTGTAGCAGCCAATAGGTGTATTTCATATAAATATAGATGCTGTGTTACCAGTTTATTTTATTTTATACCGTAGACAAACCTGATCCTAACTTTCTGTATGAAAATTAAAATGAAATTGGTTTTTCCAGATCTCTTCCTGTCTATGAGTTCTGTCTTCTCCTTTTCCGATCATTCCTTCCAATAGAGTCCTTGTTTGGTGATTCTTCCCTCTTTCTCACTGCTTCTGTATCTACCACTTTCTGTCTTAAAACATTACTGCACTGCATACTGATCTACTATAACACCCTTCTGGAGAGTTATGTGTGGACACATTTTAATGGCAGACAGACAGATAAAAAGGCAGATAGGCATGACAAACAGACAGACATGGAATATAAATGGCTTTATATTACCTTTCTTTGGATTTTAAGAGTGCCTTAATCTCCATGGAAACCAATAGGGTATTCCTAATGATTGCTCCTAATGATTGCTCATGCTTAGAATGTTGCGTCACCTTTTACATTTCTTACAATTTATGTAGATTTTTGTTACCTTCCGTTGATTAACACTGATCCTTTTGCTTGTTTGTTTATGTAGATTTGCCTGAAATGTTTGAGAAATTGTGGTGGCTGAAATCCTTTTTCCATGTTGAACATGTTCCATCAACTTCAGTTAGAATAAACATGTCTTCTAACAGGTAAGATATTGTTCCTTAAAGGAACAATTGTTTCCTTATCCTAAAAAAATCCCCCATGCATTAGAATTAGCTTTGTAACTGTCAGGCAGGAGCCAATATCGATTTTAGAAATGGTCATCACTTTAACTTGTCCCAGGAAAGTTATCTCTGTATGCACATTCTCCAACTGCTAACAAGTGTGTGTTTGTTCGAGCTGGCGTGCGTGTGTGGGAATGCGAATTTCAGAGCTTATATAATAAAATATAAATAAATTACTATATCAAGCTAAAAACAAATACCCAGCATGAGTAAAAGTGTGATAATATTTTTAACATGTCTGTAAAGCAATCTTGATACATTTATTTTCTATAAAAGCATTGTGTGTCTGAATACTCATATTTCTTTATGGGGGGTTTTTCTCTGTGAAAGTGCTTGTGTGTGTATCTGTGTTTCTCTGTTTGTCTATATTTTCAAGTTTTGTATTCTCCAGATTAATTAATTCAAGTACATATTTCAGAACCTTTTGGAAAATCATTCCACAGACAATTTGTAAACACAGTAATTACATCTGAATGGTCTGAACGTAACACTAGCTATGATTGCATAACACTTTCCTTTATTAAGAACATTTTATTTTGTGTCACTCATTGCTCGTTTAAGTGATTATGAGGGGATTGTAATAGAAAAAATACCAACATTTAATTTTCATTTCAATTTACCACAATTAAAAACATACTTGGTATCTGATCAAACGTACTTGCTAGGTGTGTAAAAAATCCCTTATGCAAAACAGATGAATCGTTTCATTGAAAACATAAAAAGACATTTCATTTATTGGTTCCAAACATTCTCATTAAAATATGGATACCACTGTAATAAACCAAATGTCCATAACCAGAGCCTGCATTGTAATTCTTTCTGCACTGTTACCTGTATCAGTTATGAGCAGTCTGAACGTGGCTCGATCTATGTCAGATAAATTCATAATATGTATAGCAGGGACAAAGCTGTCCTCCGGCTTTACTGTGAAAGATTTTAATGATATAGCAGCGTGGGCGCAGGTGGTCAATTTATTAGATAAGTCAAATAGATTGACCAGGCGGTATGCAGGTTTAAATATTATTACCTGATGCACTGTTTTGTTGTCCACCTCTGGTAAAACCATTATACATATGTAAAGGAGATTGACTGGACTCTGTTGAATGCTCCTAAGAAAGGTAGTTAATGATTTCTTTTGCATTTGTAAATTTATTTTTATATTTGATGCTTACTTATTTTTGTGATTATTTTTTTATTTACAGTTGACGAGAACTAGCTACAAAGGAAAAACATTCTTCATGATGCTGCTAAACTGACTAAAGATCATCTATGGTTGCTTCTATGAAACGAAAAGAGGATGTGCTGCTTGAACCTTTGCCTACTTTAGCAAGCACAATGCTATTGAAAAACATTCTAAAATTCTAATCAGGTGTTCCTTTTTAAAAGGATATGTTAAGCACCATAACCACCACATCTCATAGTAAACGCTGTGCAGGGAGGCTATAGTTGTAGACCCCCTTTTTTTGTTAAACCATCCCCAATCGAATGGTTTTCCAACTCTGGAAACCCATCCACTCTGCCTCTATAATCATAATGAGCAATTAAATGTTTTCATTTTCTTTACAATTTGTTCATTTTAAGAACACACTGCATGCTTACACAGTGAAATGATGGGCAGCAAGTATTGGGCTACAACAGGATCTTGATGCTAATTCAATGCAGTCCTTTCTTCTCATCTGAATCCACATTTAACAAGAGGGTTTACAACAATTTTGAGGCACAGGAAATATGCAGTGACTGGGCATCTGAAACTTGCAAAAACTTACAGGTCACATCCTAACAGTGCAAAAATTATACATCAGAGTCAGAGTGTGTACATTCTAAATACCAGGTCATCTTTTGTCAAACTGTTTGAAAATGGTCGGACAAAAGCCAGAATAAGCGCATCCATAGGATCTTTATAATGTAATCATTACAATAAACTTGGGTGATTATAATGCTTTGAGTGTCCCTTTAAATATGCACTTCTAAGTAACATCCTCTCCATTCTTTATAGTATTTGTGTCACGTAGAAGGGGCTTCTCTTTGGAACTTAAGGATTTCGACATTAAGGAGCTTAATTCTATTAGAAATTATAAGACAATATGTCCTTTCACATGCCGTGCACCCTATAAATCATTACAGGATCTATTCACTAAACTGTTTTAGAAATCGGTGTTCAAATCATAGAGCACTAAACAGTTTTTAAGAGAAAATAGATCAAATAGACAGAAATATACCCAAAACAGATGAAATCTCAACTTTTACTGAACTAAACTTTTTCCAAGCTCTGCTATATCATGTTATATTTTTGGGATTACATCATAAACTACTGCAACGCACTGTTTGTAACTTGTCATGCACACAATAATATCCTGGCAGTATGTAAATACAATCATCCAATAATCTGACTACACTGCTGTGATAAAGTTCATCACATGACATAAGGCAAAATAGAAAATAATTTGTTTTATATTATCTAAAGCACTTTCATTATTTAAATAGCTGAGGTATATGGTCATATGTAGTACGCACTATTTGTGTTTCTCTTGTTTAGCTAATGTTCATGTTAATTAAAGAAGAATTCAGATTTAATCAGATTTTTCCTTATATTTTGTGAGTGTGTTTATAATGTCATTGCACTAACCACATCCATATTTTTGATGGATATTTTATTGCAACAATTTTGTACAAAATTAAATATTATTTCTCTGTTAAGCGATGCTGAAAGATGAAAAAAACAATAAAAAAGTTTTTATAATGTAATCAGTTTGTTGTCTTTGTTATGATTTTTAAATGAAAACATTTAAATATACAGAAACTCAAAATGGCATTCGATAAGCTTCTGCAATGTCACAAGATTTATTTCCGTCCAGTGTTGCATTAATTTTTTACCAAGATCTTGTATTGTTGATGGTAGAGTCGGACCACTGCACAAAACCTTCTCCAGCACATCCCAAAGATTCTCAATGGGGTTAAGGTCTGGACTCTGTGGTGGCCAATCCAATCTTTGTTGAGAATGATGTCTAATGCTCTCTGAACCACTCTTTTACAATTTGAGCCTGATGAATCTGGGCATTGTCATCTTGGAATATGCCCATGCCATCAGGGAAGAAAAAAAATCTATTGATGGAATAACTTGGTCATTCAGTATATTCAGGTAGTCAGCTAACCTCATTCTTTGGGCACATAATGTTGCTGAACCTAGACCTGACCAACAGCAGCAACCCCAGATCATAGCACTGCCCCCACAGGCTTGTACAGAAGGCACTAGGCATGATGGGTGAATCACTTTATCTGCCTCTCTTCTTACCCTGATGCACCCATCACTCTGGAACAGGGTAAATCTGGACTCATCAGACCACATGACCTTCTTTCATTGCTCCAGAGTCCAATCTTTATGCTCCCTAGCAAATTGAAGCCTGTTTTCCAATTATCCTCACTGATTAGTGGTTTTCTTAAAGCGATATAGCTGTTCAGTCCCAATCCCTTGAGTTCCCTTCGCATTGTGTGTGTGGAAAGGCTACTTTCACTATTGAACATAGCCCTGAGTTCTACTGTTGTTTTTCTACGATTTGATGTCACCAAACGTTTAAGTTATCGTCAATCACGATCAATCAGGATTTTTTTTCCGACCACATTTCTTCCTTGAAGACGATGATTTCCCACTATCCTTCCAGTTTTTAATAATGTGTTAACCCAATTTTAGTAGTTTCTGCAATCTCCTTAGATTTTTTCTCTGCTTGATACATTCCAATGATTTGACCCTTCTCAAACAGACTAACATGTTTTCCACGACCAGGGGATGTGTCTTTCGACATGATTGTTTAAGAAATGAGAAGCTACTAATTGCATCAGTTGGGGTTAAATAACTTGTTGCCAGCTGAAAGATAATCGCCCATGCAGTAACTATTAAATAGGAGGCTCTTACCTATTTGCTTAGTTAAATCCAGCACTATGGACGCCTATTGCGGCCATGTAATCGTTCTTTTAGAGTGATCACATGGCCCACGGGGGCTTAGTTTGCTGAGGGAGGACAGTCTGGGCTGTCATGCATTCTCCCCTGACCGGGAGCAACACAGATCGTTGACGAGGGAATGCCAGCGATCGGGTAAGTGCATAGGATGGCTCATATTTGCTGCAGACGTACTAGGTACGTCCGCGGTCCTTAAGGACCGTTTATTGTTGAACGTACCTAGTACGCCCGTGGTCCTTAAGGAGTTAAAGAGGCTGTTAAGGTGTCCACATGTGTTTTTCAATGTGTACAGATATGCAGAGTTAATTAGGTAATATAATAATACATAATAAACAAACAAAATAATTAGGTCTACTCATTAAGCCACAATTTCTATTAAATAGGAAGCTCTTACCTATTTGCTTAGTTAAATCCAGCACTATGGACGCCTATTGCGGCCATGTGATCGCTCTTTGCTTAGTTTGCTGAGGGAGGACAGTCTGGGCTGTCATGCATTCCCCCCTGACCGGGAGCAACACAGATCGTTGACGAGGGAATGCCGGCAATCGGGTTAGTGCATAGGATGGCTCATATTTGCTGCAGACGTACTAGGTACGTCCGCGGTCCTTAAGGAGTTAAAGAGGCTGTTAAGGTGTCCACATGTTTGTTTCAATGTGTACAGATATGCAGAGTTAATTAGGTAATATAATAATACATAATAAACAAACAAACAAAATAATTAGGTCTACTCATTAAGCCACAATTTCTAGCCCTCCCTCTCAACTTGCAATGCTTCTTTTTTTACTCCAAATATACTGCTGTACATGATGTGATTACAAATGGAAAGTTGACAATTGAACTACAATTACCAGAACATATAAATACCACTCACACATGATGCCCATCTTTTATTGAAAAATGTAATCTTACCCCAATGACGTTACAAAGTGCGGGTGCAGCCTCTATGATTGGCCACTTGGAAATATACCATACTTTTGTATTGGAACAGAGCTTAATTTTATATACTGTCAGTAGTGGAGTGGGTACTGATGGTGGTAGCTGGTTGTGCAGAATCAGATACAGCACCAGTGGATGTGTTACCTACCTCAATACATATCTTTTTGCTTCAACTTTCAGTAATACAGACTTGTGGTGTTCTTCCCTATGTTGGTTGAGACTGGCATTAGTGAGATTACCCTTCAGTCGCTTCTTTCCCAAGTAATTTGCAATTTGCAATTCCGCTCTTCTGGGAGGCTGTTAATGTAATGACAGACTTTTCTTCAGCGTGATCTACTAGTCTCAACTCTTGATCTTGTGGTTGATAAAGATGCAGGAGGATTTGCATCTTGGGAAGTTGTCACCATACTAGCCTTATTAACACTATCACTTAGTTGACTAATGCTAATGAAAAAGATGGTGGTGTTAATAATAATCTTACTGGGCAAACTACTTCTGGAACTGTAAAAAAATGAATAAGTGAATGGCGCTTACACAATACGAAAAACACAAAGGTGGTGGTGGAAAGAAGTGTTCCCCAACACCTTAAATACAAAGTATACAATAGAAAATATATGGACACTGAATACACAAATGCCACAGAAATCCACACACCACTCTCTTAATCCCAAAAAGGTGAATGTATACAATACTTGTAAATACAGGGATATATGCTGGTAGTATTCCGTGTGCTTGGACCCTATAATAACATAAAACAGTACATCGTGCAAACTGTATATAATAATAGCGATAATAAAAATATATAAAAATATAAATATATACTGTTTTATGTTATTATAGGGTCCAAGCACACGGAATACTACCAGCATATATCCCTGTATATTGTATACATTCACCTTTTTGGGATTAAGAGAGTGGTGTGTGGATTTCTGTGGCATTTGTGTATTCAGTGTCCATATATTTTCTATTGTATACTTCTGGAAATGGTAGGTGATGAGGCAATGTGCAGGTGCAGACTGCTGCCCATGTCCAGATGCACCTCTTAATTCCTCTTTTTATAATTGATTTATACTCCATTCCAAGGAACCACAGAGTGTTTACTGAAGAAGGCCCATATTTGTGTTTTCTTTAAATCTTGCTTTATTTTATTTTATTTTATTTGTTGCTGCACTCTATTGACTGTCTCCAATACCCTTTTATACATGACACTAAGGGGTAAGTAACAATTCACTTTGATTGCTTTAATTTTACACTAATTATCTTAGGTTGTACTTATTGTATTTTACTTTGCATTAATTATTGTGTGTATATATACATATATGCAGTGTGTGTCTTGTGGGGTTAGCTTGACAAAGACCTTGGTGAAGGTCCAAACGTTGCCCTGTAACATTTTTTAGTTCCAATAAATCTGCCTAACTTGAATCTTGAGTGCCTGAAGTCTTTCAGCATTAAACAAATGCCTGGTGTGGTGGGGGGCAGAGCAATATCATCATTCCCTAGATTCCATGACACTTCTGCTGATGGTGGATTGGGTAACAGAACTCTTTCCCTTTTCCCTTCCTCAATTGCTTCTTGGAATAAGAGCAGAACATTAATCACGGTGGGTTTCTTTTTTACCTTACAGTAATTAAGTGTACACGTGATAGTGTATTGTGCAAACTAACACAACTTTCTTCAGAAAATATAGGGTTTGGAGCTGCAAAATGGATTCATGCTCGGTTTATTTACTGCTGTAATTATATTGTGTATGACATTAAAGGAAAACTCTAAACACCTTAAGCAATTTAGTGTCCTATTATTATTATTTTTTAAATTTTACAAAAAGTGTAGATTTCAATAGAAATTGAAACTTTTATAAATGAACCCCCATGGATATCAATCAGACAACAGGTTATGTTACCTCCTGGTTGTTTAGCTCAGTGGAACTAAACTCAAGTGTCAGGGAATTGCCCAAAGCACCTACCTTGCAAAGAGCTGCATTTGGAAGTCTATGATTGGAAAGCCACAAAATAGTCGGGGCTGATAAAGAATTGGAGGGAGTCAGCAAGTTGAGATAGCGAAAATCAAATTGATCATGTACAGAATAACAATCAGCCAGTCAGGGTTTACTATACAACTATAGTAGCACTTTGGGCATGTTTTTTTTCTGCATTATATGTACAAATCATAAAATATTTTTTTGCATTGATTTATGAGTAGAGACATACAAGGTGTATGTGTAGTTGACTGCATGGTGTGTGATACAATGTGTGTATGGTGAGCTCCATTTATCTTTGTGAAGCTGTGTATGGGTAGACTGCTTGTGGACAGAAGGCTAAGGGGAAATCCCTGCTTTTATTCCTTTATGCCTAGAAAGATAGTTGGTGAAGCAAGTTGTGTGTTTCTCCATCTGATACAGTGCTCTCTGCACAAATCGACAACTGCCAGCCCCTTATCCAACAGCTAGTTCCGTGCTCACAAGTTGAAGGATCAGAGGAGGCCCAGTCACTATACCATATAACCAAACCTTCTTGACACCAAGCATACACAATGAGGAGGATTCAAGGACTCTAAACTCAACTTACCTCCCCTTTTTAACCAGGTATAAAATAATAAAAGTAATTAAAGTTCCTGACATCCTCCAACTCAACAAGTGGGTGTTCTTCCTTAACAATTAACAGTGAGAATTGCTTGGTAATGTACTTATTGTCTGGTTTTCAAGCTGGTCATTCTAAACATAGGGAGGAGTTATATAGAAAAGGCAAGGGTGTATAAGTGTTTCTGCCAACCATCAAATACTCAATTTTTGCATCTTACAGTCACAGGTTGGCAAGTTCAGGGTTAATTTTTGTCATGTGGAATTGGATTGAAGGTTAAGCATTCTATGGTCTTTTCCACAGACAAAAGATTAGGATGCAAGGATTTCATGGATATCACATTCAGTAGTGAATCTGATTATTTCATTTTTGTTTTCTTAATACTTATTTTTGGAGGCCCTAAGGGGTAAATAACCTGAATATTTTATTATGCATGAAGACATTTTGAATGAGAGGAGGACATTCCAGTTTTTTCAGTATATGGTCTCCAAATGGACTGATGGACAATCCAGGACATTCTAGATTAGGTGTGAATACAGTGAATATTGAATTCTATTGTTTACTCTTTGAGATCAGATTTGTTTCTTTATCACATAATTGACACAGAGGTCATTAACCTATGGCATGTGAGTTGCAGCTTGGAAGATCTATGCATCCACTACCCTCTCAGTAAAGTAATACTTCCTGAAATTATTTTTAAACCTTTGCCCCTCTAATTTAACACTATGTCCTCTTGTTGTGGTAGTTTTTCTTCTTTTAAATATAGTCTCCTCCTTTACTGTATTGATTCCCTTTATGTATTTAAATGTTTCTATCATATCCCCCCTGTCTCGTCTTTCCTCCAAGATATACATGTTAAGTTCCTTTAACCTTTCCTGGTAAGTTTTATCCTGCGATCCCTTCTCTGAACTCTCTCTAAAGTATCAATATCCTTCTGGAGATACGGCCTCTAGTACTCCATACAATACTCCAAGTGAGGTCTCATCAGTGTTCAAACTGCTCACACACATACACAATAACGCAAACATCCCACATACACACACGACACACTTCACATGCATAACATATACGTTTTGGATTTGTTTCTTCATGTTTCTTTTTTTCATATTTCTTGAGTTAATTGATTGTTCTTTTTATGTTAAGGATAAAAACTAAAGAGAGAAAAATATATTTGAAATAAAGCTTTGAAACTTAGTATTCGTCTCTAACAATTCATGCCCAAAATCCTGCTGTTAGTTTTGCTACATATTGCCTTTGGGTATTGCTGACCCTTTTTAAAAGAACATCATTTCCAAGCAGAATATGAATCACTTCAGAGTCTGGGACATATAATTTGAGGATCGGGCAGATTACATTAAACTAAGTACTTTTAGAGTGGATAAAACACCTCGTAGCTAGTGTGACAGCATTATTATGCAAAGCTGCCTCTCTTTTTAGCTTTATAAATTTTCACATAGTATATCGTTTCAATTACAAAGAAGAAGTCATCTTTATGTAGAGCAAAATGGACACTTCCCTAGTACAGCAATGTTATAGTGTCAGCGGCATTGTGAATAAATTAGGAATTATATTACCGGTAGGTTATATGGAGACATCTTTTTAAAATGATAACATAAAATTACTGGAGACCTACCGTTCGTTGCATAATTAGTTATGACCTTAGCCAGCCCAGCTGGAATACATAAAAGAAAAATAAATATTTTCGCATCTAGACAGATTTCAGCTATTTAATTTGTATATTATTTTTATTTTTTGGAGGTGAGACCTTTGTAAATATGTTTATTCCTTATTTCTCATTTCAATATTTTTTTCTGGAGCTGGGTTCTTATTTACTCCATACTACATTGTAATTATACCATATTTTTTACTCAATAAGAGAATGTACCTTTCAGTACTATATACCACAAAGTGCAATACAGAAAGCATGTTTATCACATTAGAGGTTATACAAACATCACATATTGAATTGCCATCTACTTTTTCCTTACCTCCTCACAAAACAAATAATTTTACAGGGAAGAAAATATGTTCGGTTAACGTGAAAGTTTATTCGCTATCGTTTGAATTGTGAGGAATACAAAGTAAAATCAAAGTGAATCCATATTCTAGGCCAAAATAGCAGAGTTTAGGTTTGTTTTTTTTCCTTAGACTATGCACAAATTATACTTTTGTAAATATTCCTGTCAGTATAACTTCAATAAAAGCAGAGACCATTCAGGCTGTGGTTGTAAATCCTTTTCCTTGAAAGCTTGGTAGCTAAAGATTCCTCTCACATTGCTCAGTCTTCTTCACATTGCTGGTGTTAGCCTCGACTACACATACATTCTCCATCTCTTGATTTTTTAATCTTTAACAGACTTTTTATTAAGGAAGATTGCTCCCAGTACTTTCAAGACATCCACTTCGGTTTTCCACCTTTCTCCTCAAAGGTTGACAGTTCCACTTCCCTTTTCTACTATTGTCCTGTTAGTTTGCTGCTGAGATAATTCTTTGAATGATTGCCTGAATCTCCTGAATTGCTCAATCTTCTTGCAGTCTAGCAGGTCTTCCTCAAGGTACTCTGCTACTATTTAAGCGTGCTCTGTGATGGTGAACGACAATGTCAAAATTGTAAGATTAATGGGATGAATTCCTAATGTTTCTATCTTCACTTAAACAGTTATTGGGTTGATTTTTAACAATGCTGTTTCTGCTACTTAACTGTCTACTTTAGCTAGATTTCACTTCCAATGCTATTTATAACTCAATGTGGCCAGTATAAACAATGGAGAATCTTGATCATTGTCTATATTCGAACGAAGTATACATATAATTAGTTTTTACAGTTATCATATTATAGGCCAAATGCTTTCAACCTATAAGGTGCCCGTTATTGGTATGATCTGCCATGGCTAGAAGGAAGTTTGCAGTCTCTCCCTTAGCCATACCTCCAGTAGAGAAGGTGGGTGGCTGTGGGTGGCCTGAGGTCCTCATATAGAGGGTTATTCATTAAAGTGAGAGTTCAAAGTGAATTTAGATCTAATTAAGGCCAAAGTAGCCAATGTGGAAGCATAGCTGACTTATAGTTGTGCTAGTTTTACCTTGAATTTGAAATGCACTTTGAATTCTCCCTTTAGCGAATAACCTAGTTAGTTTTAAACTGCTCGAAAATGGTTTAGCATTGAATGGAGCAGTTAGTGCTGAGAACTCCATGAACGGTAATCAATTTAATGAGATGAAATGGTTACAGTGCCAACAATGTCCCTTTAAGGGGTACTTTCTGCTCCTACATTTGGCTGTCTCTTTATAACTTGAATTATCCTTTATATAGTGCCACCAGATTCCTCAGTGCTTTGTAACTACTATACTTAGAGATTTGTTTTGTCGCAATTGAAATTTATCTGTACCGAATGGGTCCACTTACTTTAACTCTGAATCTAAGTGCAATAAGAAATGCATAATGGCCAGGCATGTCCATTTCAGTTTGTTATTCTGAATTCCACTTGTGGTGCCAAAAAAATATGATGATGGATGAGAAAAATAGATGATTGATGGTTAGGAGACAGTGACAAAATGTTGATTTTATTCACAGATCGAGTGCGAATAGAGCAATAGTGCATATAGTGCAATATTGTCTCCTTCTCTGGTGCAACCTTCTTACAGCTGCCCATCACAGTGAGTATTCCCCAAGGCTCTGTTCTTGGTTTTCTTCTATTTCCCTTTATACTGCCTCACTTGGTAACCTTATTAACTATTGTGGAATTCAATATCATCTAAATGCTAACAATACTCAGATTTAGTCCTCTCCTGCCCTATTATACAATAGTAAAGTGCTGTGGAACATGTTGGCGCTATATAAATGCTAATATTAATGCAAATAATACAAATCTTTGTATCAATCAAGTAGTCATTATGAGTGAAGGATCTTGTGCAATCACATTTTCTAAAGTTAATTATCTTTCCAAGCTAAGTATTAACCTTTATTCATTGTAAACTATTCACTTTAATTCACTGTAATCCATTATATTGTAATATATATATAAATATATATATAGATATATATATATATATCTATATATATATTTATATATATATAGATATATATATATATATCTATATATATATATATATATAAACAAACAAAAGGACTGGGCACCCGAATTCTCAATACAAAGTTTACCAATGCCAGTGTAAGAACCTGCGGTCCCCAATAGTATAATATCCATGAAAAGGTGCCCAAGATAATTTTTTTAAAATATTCTTAGCTTTTATGCAGCTTAGTACAAAATGTTGTTTCAATCTACAAATAGAGACTTTTTCAAGACCTTTAAAAAAAAGTTCAAAGATCCCCCTCGCCATCCCAGTTCACCCTTTGCACAGGGACCCAGGAACCTTCTGGTCTACACCTTCATTGGGATCTGCATATCCCAATGATAGTATCAGATAGTTGCCATTGTAACTGTCTGACACTGTCAGAGAGTCAGAACTCACAACAAGAATAAACAAGGTCTGCACCCGTTGAAGCTGCAGACCAGAAAAACACACCACTGAGCCACCAGGGTTCTTGTAAGGTCTGGTATGGAAGGAAGTCCATGAGGGGGAACAGTATATATAACTGCAGTGACACTAACTCTAATTGTATCAAGGCACCCTAAGTCCAGAAGGAATTTTAGGGCAATAATATATATATATATATATATATATATATATATATAAAAAGAAAAAATAATCCTGCATTCCATATGACTCAAAATATACTTGCCCAGTGCTAGTCAGGAGAAAATACAAGGATAAACAATCCAGACATCACTCCCAGGACTTGTAATAAGTATAGAACTTAGCTTTTAATTTGCTTTAAAAAGTAGATCGACGTTTCAGTCTGTTAAACACAAACTTTCATCAGGGCTAACAATAACAATACGAGTGCCTACCTATATACACAAATACATACATACAATTAACTTACCCACCACCGGAATAAACTACTGCTCCCTGTCAGCCCGGTCCAAAACTTGCGTGGGTTCCACCGGCGTCGATGTGTGCGTGCGTGACGTCATCATGTGACGTCGACGTCATTAACACATCACTTGAGCGGCCGTTCAAAGGCCTCATTGGGAGTTCGTCGCTATGAAGACAATTACCCATTGCAACATATCTACAAAGAATAACAAGAAACTCTTTAGCTGGAACACAATAATAAAATAGACACACCACCATGAATGCTCGTTATTGCTCAGCCATATCCCCAGAGCATACAGAAATTAAACAAATTAAAATAAAATAAGGGGTTGAACAGATAAGCAGAGACAAACACTACCACTGTTTAGAGAGGAATTTAGTCAAAAGAGAAACCCCAATATGAGGCAATATTGTATGAAAAAATAGCAAAATGAGAGGAGCAGAAAATCCATATTATGTAATCAGATTAAAGGTATTGAGTATACTTGCAGCAAACCAACAGAATCTTAAACCTAAGGCTGTCACCAAAACAAAGTATTAGCTACAAGTGATCAAAATAACTTGATCCACACATAAATAGAGTTAGACCATTGTAGGAGCCAGAGTGCTAGACTGGATAGAAACATACTTACAAAGAACGACCATTTAAAGTGGTATCACACCACTGGAATTAAATATGAAAGAAAAATCTACTTAAAGGCTAACCCTGACTTAGGCATCCAAAAGATACAAATAACACCAACCTTAATTGATGGTAACCAACCATATTGTATCATCAAAAAGGGAAATGTCTAAACTACACTTAAGCAGTTCTGTCACATACTTTGATGTCAAAAGGCACAAGGAATAGGTGATGAATCCCCATGTTCCAGCTAAAGAGTTTCTTGTTATTCTTTGTAGATATGCTGCAATGGGTAATTGTCTCCATAGCGACGAACTCCCAATGAGGCCGTCGAACGGCTGCTCACGTGATGTGGTAATGACACCGACACCGAGTGATAACGTCACGCACGCAAACGTTGACGCCGGCGGAACCCGCGCAAGTTTTGGACCGGGCTGAAAGGGAGCAGTAGTTTATTTCGGTGGTGGGTAAGGTAATTGTATGTATGTATTTGGGTATATAGGTAGGCACTCGTATTGTTAGTTAGTCCTGATGAAAGTCTGTGTGTAACAGACTGAAACGTCGATCTACTTTTTAAAGCAAATTAAAAGCTAAGTTTTATACTTATTACAGGTCCTGGGAGTGCTATCTGGATTGTTTATCCGTATATATGTGTGTATATATGATATATATAATCAATGCAAAATATATAGCTGTTAATTTATATTTTTTAAAAAGTGAAAAAATGGAATATCCATATGATTCACATCATTGTTGAGTAAAAAAGATATCTTTTGTCAAAAGTATTTTTAAAGAAAAATATTCTACGACAGTTTAAGACATTTCCCAATATTCAACTGGCGTAAAATGACTGAAACTTTAGTGCCTAACAATAAATATATAAATGTAACAACCCCTTACAGAAATCTCTTTAGCAGCAATTTATTGAAAAGCAAGATGTGTCAGTTATTGCACTTTTACTAATCATGTTCCCTGCCATCTATTGGCAAAGTAAACAATTTATATTTAATAAATGCATCTACCTTTTTTGCTTTCCCGGTTAAAGCCGCCATTAGAATTGATTGATTTTGAACATTATTCCTAATGTTATTTACTCCACTCTCTTTTAATAGTGAATTGACTTTAGTCCAGAGTGACCTGCTTGGTACCTAAACTTAAATGTAATATGGTGATACAATTTGAAAGACTACCAGCTGGATCTGTTCCGAGAATGATGATAGCAGCTGAAGAGGTCTCAACACTAGCCCTCCAGCCGTTTAGATGGAAAGCTAAACATGAGCAATCAAACAGCCACTTGGTATTATGCCTAAATGAAATCCTTTCCTTATAAACATTTCTATGACCTACTAAAAAAAAAAAAAAATCTCCCGTCTGAGTCTATTTTTTAAAATTAACTTTGGCATCTAGATTTACAGCAGTAATCTCCTTTGGGATAACCTTCATGAATAACTTCAAACTAAAAATTTAACTTTTACTGTATTCATAATTTTGTCCAATCAGCTATTTTAAATTATGTCACTTTGTTCAATGCAAAACAAAATAAAAAATAAAAAAATAAGTCGAATGATGTCAACAGATGGCATGTGATATATTCCCAACACCTTCAAACAGAACATCTCAATTTACAGAACTAGGGCACTGGTTTTTCTGGGTGAGAGGTAATTATT